AATTTCCTCAAGAAAAAGAAAAAAACTAAAGACATGAGTGACTGAACAGTAGAACCAAATTGAGTAAGCAAGTCAAACATTGAAATAAAAGAAAGTGCACACCTCTGCCCAGTGCTCTCTTCATCATCCCCCGTTTCCTCGTCTAATACCTCAAATCTACATTACAACTACCAGATTAACTAAATGCACCTGTAAAATTCAGATATAGTTTCAACTTGATATTATATAAGTTTAATATCAATGCCAAGTGTTTTCTCGATGTTTGCCTAACAGCTTGCCCGTGAAGTTAAACCCACAAATGGAAGCAGTACTTCTTGTTTATAAGTTTTCTTTGTTTTGATTGGTTTTCTTTTTTTTTTTTTGTTAACCAGAGTTAATTATGAGAAGTAAATTGGGTTAAATTTGAGTGGAATTTTGAGTTTGTATCAAAATAATATTTAAAATAAAGTAATTAAAGTTGATTTGATGTAAAAGTAGAAAATAAGTGATGGGTAGTTAAGATTATGTGAGTGTATGAATAGTGGATTAAAATTGATGTAATGTGTAAGGATGATTGATTGATATTATTTAATTATATTGATAATATTGAGATAGTGGGATTGAATTATAGTTGAGTTAGATTTGTTGAGATTGAATTTTTTTGAAAAAAAAATAAATAAACTTGTATCCAAGCATGCACTTACTGTTTCGTTTCCTTGTCAAAATGGATAACTTTAACCACAAACCACTCGTCCTTTCCAGCTTCCTCTTGAGTGATCCGTGCTGCCACCTAAATCAAGCATATGAGTAGCTATCAAAATTTGCAATGTTAAAAACGATTTAGAGTGAGTTGATACTGTGAAAGAATGAATAACCACTTACTTGTTCACCCTTCAAACTCGCAAGAGACTCGAAGTGACTACGCATTGATGGAGACATTCTCGGCACTTCTGAATCAACCTTCACCTTCTTTTTCTTCTGCTCACTGCCTTCTGTGGGCAATAGAGTTTTTAAAAGTTATATCATAAATCGAAAGATCACCAAAATTGAAATATTTTATATGGCACCCATATTGAGCTCAATTCATCTTCTCAATGTTACACAAATATAACTTTAATACCAAAAAGTTGCTTCAAGACCGAATATAACAACAACAACAACAACAACAACAACAACAACAACAACAATAATAATAATAATAATAATAATAATAATAAATTATCAAACTTGAATTTAGCAAAATCAGGCCAGGAGACATTCTTTCCGTATAAGTACTAACCGAGAGAATGAATTTCAAACTGAGTTCATATGGCCTTTGTGCTACTAGCATAAAAATTTATCAAACCATATAAACAGAACAAGAATTAATCCGATATTTCTTGCTTATTTATCTCAGGCACAAACCTATCCTTCGCTGGTTTTGCTGAGTTCCAGAAGGCAGTAATGCATCAATTAGTCCCAACAGTTGACTAGAAACACTT